ACCCGCCTTCTCTCCACCTCCCGCTGACTAACCAGCCGCGAAGCTAGGCTCATTGAATATTAATCACGCGCCTGGAGCGGGAAGGCGGGAGTTGGGCCGGGCGGGCGCTCCACGTGAGCCTCATGAATATGCATCACTAGCATGACGGCATTCCCGGGAGGAGTGGGGAGAGTTGGGGAACGCAGGCGAGGCGGGGCTTCAGAGTAAACAAACCTGACGCGTGCGTACGCGGGCGGGGCAGGGGCAGTTTCCCGGGAGGTCCCAGTGCCGAGGGTGTGGCCGAGGAGAGGCGTGCGGTGCACCCTGGGATTTGTAGTGCCAGTGAAGGGACGGAGGTGCCCAGCGGAAACGGACGGACTACAAGCCCCAGAGATCCTTACACTTTGCCCCTCCTTGCCGCCCGCTGCTGGCCATTGACAGTGGGTAGTGTGCCCTCTGCTGTTGAAATCTGTGCCCGGGAATGTTCTTGTTCATTAATTTGTACACACCCTTCCCGCTCCTGTTCCCGCTCCCCAGAAGACTTTCATTTTCCTACTAATTGAAAATAAGGGCTTTGAGGGACTCTAAATGGTATAAAGGTCCCGAGTGGTAGGTCCTCACCTCCACCCATTGTGTGAGATACAAATACACAAACTAAGCCAAACTTAGGTTTTCCCCACTTTTTCAAGGCCAGGGGAGACAATGTCTGGTTATTCTAACTTGGATAATTGTTAAATGTGCTTGGTGGAAATGGTGCAATCCCGAGCCAATCCTCTCCTGTGCCTATACCTGAAAAGGAAAACAGGCCTACCTCAAGGGTCTCAATTTGTTTTTCTTCGATCTTCAAGTTTGGAATAAATGACATGGAAAGCAGTGAGTGTGTCTGTATATTAACTACCATATATCTGCTTTCTAAAGTTATATTGCTTTAGCTAATGTAACAAACTCAAGGAAAGTTGTTTTAATTATAAATACTATCATCATTAGCCCAGTGTCCATTAGCATCCTAAGAAATTATAAACAATATGGAGTTTCCTCAAAAAATTAAATATGGAACTGCCTTATGACCTGGGATTCCACTTCTGGGTATATATCTGAAGAAATTCAAAAGACTAATTTTTTCTTTTTTTGAATGGGAGGGAGGGGGGAGATAGAAACATCAATGTGAGAGAATGGGTTGCCTCCTCACACACACCCAGACCCCAGCCAGAATCAGGCCTGCAACCCAGGTACATGCCCTTCACAGGGAATCCAACCTGGACTCTTTGGGTCCAAGAGGCAACAGTCCAACCACTGAGCCAAACCAGCCAGGGCCAAAACACGAATTTAAAAGAATAGATGCACTCCTATGTTCATTGCAGTTATTTACAATAGCCAAGATATGGAAGCAGCTCAAGTGCCCATCAATAGATGAGTGGATTTTACAAGTTGTGGTACATATATGCAATGCAATATTACTCAGCCATAACTAAAGAATGACGTCTTCCCATTTGTGACAGCATGGAGGGACCTAGAGGGTATTATGTTAAGTGAAATAAGTCAGTCAGAGAAAGACAAATACCATATGATTTCACTTTTATGTGGACTCTAAAGAAAAAAATAAATGAACAAACAAAATTGAAACATATTCATAAATACAGAGACCTGACCTGTGGTTGCCAGAGGAGTGGAGGGGGGGTGTGTGTAAAAGAGATGAAGGGATTAAGAAGTATAGATTGATAGTTGCAAAATAGTCATGGGGATATAAAAGTACAGCATAGGGAATATAGACAATAATAGTGTAATAACTATATATGGTGTCAGGTTGGTGCTAGAATTTCAGGGAGAACACTTTGTAAAGTATATGATTGTCTGACCACAAAAAGAAATTATAGTACTGTACTTAATCTAGCTCTGGTTCTTGTCATTTAGCATTACACAGTCACCTAGCCTTTTTATCCGCCAGGAATTTTGTTTACTCTTTGAAGTTATTTATAACCAAAACACCTCCTCCAACGGGAAAATTTTTAAAGAAAAAGCATTGCTCAGAGAATTTAGAATCCAAAATATAGGAAGGGGGCAGGGATGGTATAAGGAATTATTAAATTGGGAGGAGTAGGGGGCTAATGTAGAAACTATTGCATGCATAGTGTTCATAATCTGAAAGATGCTATATTCCCTTTTAATCAGAATAATGAAAATCAGAGTTGGGTGGAAAGAAGAGCAAGGATCCACAGTGTGACTCATACCTTGTTCCACCTCCAAATCTTCCATAAAGTTATTCAACTTGAAGGTGAGAGGAGAGACAGAAAGAAAATGAGAGTTCATAAATAGGCAGTGCCTTTAACCCCAGATCAACTGGAATCTGGTAGTTGAGATAATACATTGATAGGACCATGAAACTTGTACTTGGAGTTTACTGGTATTGTAAAATGTCATTCAGACCATCAGAGCCAGCACACACTATAATGAATAAGAAAAGGACTTCAGTACAGGATAAATATTTTCCAGACACCCATGAAATAGCTTCTTCTACTTTAACGTAGAGTGGGGTCTAGGGCGGGGGGAAAAAAGGACACATATGTAATACCCTTTGTAATACTTTAAGCAATAAAAAAAATTAAAAAAAAATAAAGTAGAGTAGGGAATAGACCAATATCCTGAAATCACATGACTCCTGAATGACACCCCCCACACCCAACCTTTAAAGTGCTGCAAATGTACAGTCATCTAATATCACATTACTGACTAGCCAAGCTTTTCAAAGAATCACCTCTTTAAATGCTAAAAGATAATCCTGAAAAGAAAAAACAGATGTAAAAGTTGCAAACCTGGATGCCAACTTGTTAAAGTATTTTAACAGTTAAGTATAGAGAAAGAGAACATAATTTTCAATTTACTGCCACAGTTTATTTTATGCTGTGTGACTTATTACTGACTTGCTGTGTTTTGCATCTAGGTTAACCCTGTTTGCATCCTTAGATCCAAGATAAAAGAAACTATCTTTGGAATTTTTTTTTCTAATATAAGTAGTTGGAATTTTAATGGAGGCATGAATTGATAGCTGGGATGCCTTCCGTCTGTTAAGGACTCAGCTGTGTCCAGAAATAAACTTAGAAAGATGCAATATACAATGTAATACATTTAGTTAGTACATTATGAACAGGAATCTAATTATAGTTTCACATTTTTATATCCCTTGAGCTACTAGTGGTTTACCATGACTAAATTGCTCACTACTTACTCATTCTTTTTTTACTAGGAGGGATCCATTTAGCAAATTACTGCTCTGGTGCACGAAATGAGCCCCAGGTGGCCAAACTGATTTCATATGTTTCCTGCCCAGTGGCAGGATGAGACCTCCTGAGCTCACTAAAGCCTTACCCCGCCCTTCCAGAGCCTAGATTAACCCTTTGAGTGCCAACCAATATCCTAGGAACTATGCTAAAATTGCCAAGGCATTTTTGCTGATTTTACAGCAGTTTAGAAAAAAAAATATGAAAATTAGGCAGATAAATGCCAGTGGTCAATTTTAGAACTACAAACATTCGGCATCATAAGTAATCTGCACTTAGGTGCCATCTGTCACTGAAGAGTGAACTACTAGCATCTAATAGTGACACTGCAGGAGGAGCGCGATAGCATTCAGGGCACTTTGGGGGAAAGACAAGTGGAGTGCGATCGCGCTCCGGCCATTCTAGAGGTTAACATTACTACCTTAGGTAGTCCATTTTATAGATACAGATTGACAGCTTTTCAGATTTTAGTGTACCCTTTTAATCCCATAATCCTTTGTTTTTTATTATTTCTCACATCCTGCCTCGTTGAAATAAACATGTGTTGAAGGTCACAACAATGAAGTATTACATCGCATGAAGACCATGGAATCCCAGTACTTCTGGTAACAATGTAAATTACCTGGAACTTATGTGTCAGCA